TCAGACACGTTTTTCAGGGGTGTTGTGTGCACGTGTGCACCCAAGGGTTTGACCGCGGGTCCCTGGAGAGGGGACAGTGCAATAACAGCCGCTCCTCCCCGGAGCCTCTGGTGGAGCTGTGTTTCATTTTAGCTGGCAGTGACTAAGCCAACGGCTAAAATGCAGAAATAAGTGCGGCGGAGAGAGGCCCTCATAATGGCAGAGATGAAAAATGTGTGAGCGCAGAACAATGAAGTGATGGTAAATCTGAGATGTAGGCACCAGTCACCACTTGTACCATGCTGTTGTCAGAAGTGTGTTGAGATATCGGAGAGAGCGGGCTGAGAAAGGGAAGCTAATTATACCACATTATTCACTTCTGCTCATTAGGTGTAGTACAAAGGCCCTGCTTTTTATGTATATATTGAAGTGCCGAGGACTACAGGAATAGATAACTTCATGTTTCTTTTGTCTCGCTAGTGGGCCAGTTCAGAGAGAAAAATCGTGTTTTCACGGACCTGCAACTTTCTATCCTGCAGAATTAGGGATTTCCTCCTGCATGACCCCTAACAAATAGAAAAAGGCAACTCTCCCCCCCTTGAAACCCAACAAGCAAAGGTCCTGTGCCCCGTGGCAATTCCTCACCCAGTGCCTGTGTGATGGTGTGGGAGACGGTTCCTGCCTTCTCCCCTCTGCTCAGCGTAGGCACCTGTGTCCATGAAAAAGCTCTTCCTGTGTAATCCCTCTTCCCTACATACCCTCAGTAGCTCCAGGGGCACTTTGGCAGCCACAGCCTACCCCACTGCAGATATCCATCCCTGGGTCACCCTGTCCCCTTGTGCTTTAGTTGTCCCTCCATCATCCTGAGACCACAGGTAGCTCTCCAGCTGAGTGTAAATGAAATTAATTCAGCTGTTTAATCAACTTTGGGTTGCACACTTAATGCATTCACTCTTAGATGTTTTACCTGCCTCACAACCCTCGTATTGCATTCGGATCTGTAAATGAGCCATTAGGAAAGATGAACGGGAAGGCAGAGGATGGGTTTATTGAAATTATTTATATATGAAAAATACCTGACTTTCAAAATTCATGGTTCTTTAATGCTCAGATCACAGAGAACACATTAAATCTGAGAGGAGAAGAACAGGTATTGCACTTCCACTCTGAGGTGAATGAAATCAGATTTGGGCATTGAAATCCACCCTTCTCAACAATGAAAATTGCCTTGCACTTCTAATTATGAGCATCACAAAAGTCACTGCTTTAGTGAAATACCCTGCAGCTACACAAAAGGATAGACTGGAGAAGCACACATCTACCAATAAGTGGCACTGAGCATCTACTCCATTTCTCACACAGGTTGGCACATCTCTCAGTGGTCCATCTGGTAGAATTGGATGGCATTTATCAGGAAATAATCCAATTGTGGCATGCCAAAACCTGAACATGAAAAGTACTTGTGCCTAGTGTCAATCATTCACCCTCTGACAGTTCAATAAACATCCTTTCTGTGATGGTTTTCAGGAACACTGACACCCAAAATGCTGGAAACAATGCCAGAGATGGAAATGACAATGCTTCTGTGAAACATCAAAAGGGACCGACACAACCTGGCATGGATTTTGCCAAGTGTTGCTTAGCAATGCACTGTGCTTTGGGCCGCTGGCGTGTCAGGATTAACTGCGAAGGGAGCGATGTTCACACCTTCGCTGGGAACGTGTCCTTCCCAAATAAAGGAGCACAAAGCAGGGAAGTGCAGCATCAGCAGGAGCAGGGAATGCCGCAGCCACGATTTTAGGCTCCTGAAGAGCCATCTGCCCTCCCCGGTTGTCTTCTTCAGGCACGGGGAAAGACCACGTGCCTCGTCCCAGTGCCACAAGGACGCAATCCTGTCCTGCCCAGCTTGTGATCTGGGAGGGTATGAGGAGGTTTTGTGGAGGTTTTCTTTCAGAAGGGGCTAAACTTTGCTACCAGCAGCTCTTGCAGGAGGTGCATGCAGGCAGAATTTGACTCGGACTGGGTTGGCCACTGGGCTCAGCAGATGGTGACAACATAACAGGAAGAAAGCCTGAACCTGGAACTGGGAGGTGAACGACCAGAATCACTTCTAATGGAGTGTGAAATAGGGATGGTCATTTTAGCAGTGAAACTGGTGGCAGCAAGAGGAGGCAAGGAGGTCTTGGTAGCGAAAGAAAAACCTTGTCCACTTCCCAAATTTCTCAGGTGAGCCCCTCTCCCCAGGTGCCTGGATGCTGCCTGTGTCTCTGCAGCCACCTCCCACCCCTCCATGGATCCTGAAGGGGGAAAGCAGCTTTCCCAGAAAAACGAAGAGTGCTCAGTGGCTGTAGGGAAAACACACTATTTGGTATTGCAAGCACCACTTGAGGAGGAAACTGAATCAGGGGAAGTGAAATAACTTGCCTGAAGCCACCGACAGACCTGGGAACTAAACTCTGGCCTCCTTCATGTGCCAGATCCTGGAGCAGAGGCTCACGAGGTCTAACCAAATTGCTTTTTATCTGCGTGCCTGGTAAATGGGAGTGGGAGGAATGTCTGCATATCAAATAAGGGGGTTTTGTCCGTCTCGAAGTTCCAGGTTTTCAGATCCAGGAATCAGCCGACACCTGGAGCTCATAAACTGCCTTTTTGGTGTGGTGAGGACAGACCTGCGGGTCCAAACGCAGCCGTGCCAGCCAAGCCTGTCCAAACAGAGGTGCTGGGACCTGCTGCCAGTCCAGAGCCTGGAGGGAGGCAACTGCCTGGGGAGGCACTTGTGAAGAAGCACATGTTTGCTGCTACCCTCTTGGCTCAGGGCTGTCTAATCCGTAGGCACCAGGGTGATGGTGAAGGCTGCAAATATCATGGAAAAGGTGCTTTCAAACAGAGTGCTCTGAGCAGAAATCCTGAGGTGTGCAGAGCCTTATATATACTTATGACAGTTTTCCAGGGAGAAGTGCAAGCTAACTCCATCAGTGCCTTTGAGCCTTGACTTGTTAATTGGCATTACTTCTAATTCCCAGCTATATTTTAAGGTACGAACCTAAGGAATTTTAAAGTCATTATGTGGGTGAGGGACTGATAAAAATAAATCCTTCAGGTTTGAAAGTGGCAGAGAGGGAATAAAAGGTGTTAAGAAATCCAGGAGTTTTCAGCCAATTGGTTCAAAAAAGCATCCGGGTGGACTGCAGCTCCTGGAGAAAGGTCACTGATACTACTCTGGATACCTCTTTTTATGAACTTTATGCATCACATAAAATAAATTTAAAGCAGTTTAATTTAACAGTCTAATTAGTCATGGTTTTTTCATCTTGTCTATTTAACTATACATGGAACAAAGAGAAAGACACAGGGCCAAATTCAGAGCTGGCACAAATCAGCTCTGCAAGTCAAGGAAGCCATTCCTGCTCATCCAGGGCTGAATACAGATGCCAGTGGCCAAATTTGTCCCTGAGGATAACACCCTTAATGTCTGGAGACTTGCACCACAAACGAATTTGGCTGCCAGGAATTAACTCTCTGCAGGGCAGATCCTTGGGTCTCAGTGTTCAGAGCTTGAGCCAGGAGAGCTGAAACGTGGGAGAAATGGTTTAAAGATTTGAGGTGGTTTAAAACGAAACTCCTCTGTGTGTTGGCTTTGCAAAGGCTCCTGCAAGCCTTTCTCTTTGCCTCAGTCCTCTTAATTTTCACCCTCTTTCGCTTTAAATTTCAGCGTTCACGTAATCTCAGGATCTCCAGCAAAGACCAGTCACATGAACGCACCCTCCACTGGAAATGAGTGTCTCTCTACTGCCTTTGATGTGGTTATGCTGGTTATACCATTGCACTAAATCGGCCTTGCTCTTCAGCTCGTGTACAAAAATCCACTGCATTAACCAGGTCTTGATGTGGAAACATAAATCAATCCGTGCTTACAGAGGTGAAGTTTCTGAGCAGCTTTCCAGCTCAAGAGGTCTTGGGCCAGGTAAAACCTAGACTTCCAGCTCCACAGCTATACTGTGGTATTTGGGAGGGTTGTGGCCCTGCTTCCAGTTTTCATTAACGAAACAAATTATTTTTCAAATGTTGCAGGTTCCGGCAGAAATCTGCCTCCCGTAGGTTGAGGCAGAGGTCTCATTTGTTTTGTGATGTCCGTTTGCAAGAGCATCTTCCAGAGCAGGTTGCCATCTGATGCTGGCAGGCACTGGAATGGCTTGGGAGGGGACTGAGGTGGCTTAGCCACGTGTCACCCCAACGCTGAGCGGCGCAAGTCCATTCCAAATGTCTCTTTTCTAAGTTCCTGCAAGTTACCCTTCCCCAGCCGGAAATAACTACAACAAACAACATGGGCACAGTAAAGAAATTCAAATACATCATCTCAAACCACCTAATGATTAACTGTGTTCAATTAGTCTCCGGGGTTTTCTGTGCTGCTGTGTGGTCTCCCTGAAGGCACCACCAGCACCTCTCAGAGGTGAGTTAATGAGTTCTGGTTGTATCTTGTCCGCAAGCTCAGCTGCATAACCACCCTCCTCCTCTGGCCTGGTGTTCCTAGGAAGAACACCCACTTCAGAGGACTTTCTCCCTTTTCCTGCTGGAAGCTGATGAAACGCTTGGTCTTCCCCTGTGATGCATTTCCAAGGTGCTGCCTCTGCAGGGCTGTGCGAGTTCAGGGCTCAGCGGGTGCTACCCCAAGCCTCTTCCTGGGCGTCCTGACTGAGCTGGTCTGCTTGGTTGCAGGGTGTGGGTCCCTACATCTGTCACATAAAGCCCAGGTCTCTTGTTTGACAATATAGTTTCAAGACTGTGACTTAATCCTCTCTTTGGGGTGGTCTGTAAAAATCAGTGCTTCCAGCCAGGTCTGGCATCTGTGTAAGTTACTCCTGTTTCTTCTGAAGCTCTGTGTCACTGGGCCGTCAGGCCTTTTAGCACATCTTTCTCTTACCTTAAATTCATGTTTTGTTTCACTTTTGCATGGCAACACACTCTTCTCAAAGTTTCTTGAAGCTCTGGTTATATTTTTTTATCCTTCTTTTCTTCAGGTTCAGCCAGCACCTGTGCAGACCCTGGGCCTCCACATTGTCAAGAAATTACATTTTCCTGTGAAACTTTGCACGATCCAAACAGTGCTACAGGTGAGAGTCCCCAAAGGGAATCATTAGCGTGAAGGAAAGGAACCCTGTGGATATATCCAACACACTGGACATAGCCCAGCTTCCAAATGCATCTCTCTGTTAGGTAATGGGAAATGTACTCTTATTATAATGTAAACACCTGTACGAAAGGATGAGGGGCTGCATTGGCTCCTGCTCCGCTGGGAGCTTCCATCTTTAACTTTTTCACTCCCTTATTGTACCTGGGCTTTTTTTCTCTAACAAAAAATGTGGAGTTGACCCCACACTGCCTTGTGCACCATGACTGGATTCGTAGTCATGGACCCTTTTTTTCCTCTCTGGGTTGAGTTTGCCAGCAGCAGCTGGTACCAGCAGAGCCCAGTGCTGGTGCTGCTGCTGCTGCCATGTTGCTTTCCCTGTACCCATGTCCTTTCTGCTGTGTCGTTTCACACAGTGGACAGTTTAACGCACCAATTTCTGCAGATTCCAACATTCCCTGCCTCGTGCTGTCCTGGCTGGGATCTGTTTTCTTGCAGTACTTTGCACGAAGTGTCTCACAGTGCTGCTTTCCAGGAACTCTGTTCTGGACATGATTAATTCCTCTGCATGGCAAATTTTAATTGTTTTATCAAGGAATTTTTTTTTTTTGCCTGAGTTTTGCAATCTCTTTCCCTGGTGTTTTGCCTCAAATCCCAGCCTTAATATGTTCCTTCTAATAAGAGACTCCAACCTGACAGTTGTAAGATTGGCACTGCCACCACACGTTACAAAATCTGGAGTTTGTACCATGTTATCTTTTTTTTTTCCTGCGGAAAAATAAGATACCGACATATGGCAGCTCTCAGGAGAGTGGAGGCTGAGAGCGGGAGGCCAAGAGAGTCGAGGCTAGGAGAGATTTGGAGGCCCGTAGTGGGAGACTGAGAGAGGAGAGGCCAAGAGTGGAAAGCCCAAAGCCTGAAGGGTGCCACAATCTGCTCCTCAGCCATGCTCTTGCTGGATTTTCCCTGAATTTCCCCAGTTTTGCACTCAATGCCCGCCGACACACACTCGTATGTGACCCCCCGCACCTGAGGCGAGGGCGTGGTCGCCTCAGGCCCTCACTTCGACGCCAGACTCCGAGGGGCTCGTAACCCCTGAGCTGTGTCTAATCAGGCAACACCTGAGATTAATTGTGAGGGCTTTTCTCTACCCACCCACAGAGATAAAGGCAGAGGAGCCATTTTGGTGCTTGCACGTGCCTGGGTGATGTTCTGAGCTGCTCTTGCGCCAGGGTAAGTCCGGGTGAGGGAGTATTTGCCGGGCCGTGAACTGAACGCTTGCTGTGGGCCTGGCTGATAAAGATACCAGGTTGTCTTTAATGGAGCCAAGGAAACAGGGACCTGGTGGGAGCAGTGGGCTGGGAAGGGGTCGGGAAGGTTGTCACAGGTGGATACCGTGGTGTTAAAAGTAAGAGAAGGGAATCCCCTGCCTTGGCTTTGTTTGACTCCTTCCTGCTTTCAGACAGCTTTGGAACCTGCTGCTGGGATTTCCTACTGGATCCCTTGAGCCAGAAAGAAGGGGGCAACCCTTCTGATCATCCTCCTTGAACCGGCCACACCTCGGCTGAGACATCGTGGTGACAGCTCATCTAGCAACACCATTACCCAAAGGTGAGGTGCTCTTGTTTGGTTTTGTAACCCACGGCTTTATCAGGACAGTGCAGGACATATGTTGCTGTGTCATCCAAGATGCCGGGGTGTAAAGACAAATAAAGGATGGGGTGGGACCAGACTGGTGCTTTACTGGCTGTGGGTAGGTAGAGAGGGGGAAAAGCAGCCTTGGCACCTGTTAGTGGCCATTAAAAACTCCCATGTTCTGCTAATCTGTGCTCGTAAAAAGGCCATCTGCTAATGCTCAAAGGTCATTAAGTTACCAGCCCTGTTTACTCCTCCCAGCTCTGCTGGGCCAAGCCTTTCTCAGAAAAGAGGACTTAAATGGTTATTATGGTGGCGCCTGCTCACGCTGCTGTGTGGTTAAGGGTCTGTCAGTATTTTCATTAGGAACCCAGACTTTCAGGGCTTTTTAAACTTGACCATTAAAGTGTCTGCTTCTCGCTGCCTGGCCACGCTTTGGAGAAGGAATTTTTGTGTCGGATTGGTGTATGATGAAACAAAGGGAAAGCATAGACAACAGAAGACCACTTTAGGTACAGCTCTAAGGGTGTGTTTTTTCCTAGAGGCGTCGGGCTGTGTGCTTTTTTTTGGGTTTACAAGAGTCAGCAGTAATATCTGCCCCCATATAAGCGATGCTGTCCCCAACAGGCAGTGCTTGTGCCTCACACAGTCCAGGCACTACAGGTGGGTTAGCGAAGAAGCTGAGGCTTGGACTGTGAGTTGCCTTGATTTCACAGGTTTTAGTCAAACCTTTAAGGTTACATTAACATAGTTTTCTTGTGGTTAAATGGAACTATCAAAAACTTTGATAATTCTTTTTTCCTTCTGAGACTTCCCAGCGATAAAATAAGACGTAGCTGCTCAAGTTTTTATCCTTCATTTCCGATAATGATGGTGTCTGTCTCATAAAAACCTGCCTTTTATCTTCCCCAATTAGCTGAGTCGCTGCACCCTTGTGCTGCGAAGTTCTGAGTGTGCTGCAGCCTCTTCCTGAGCACAGTCAAAGCACCCCCTCCCCAGCTCTGTGGGGCCAGTCTGTCCACTGCACCCACCCTCCCGTCCCTGCTCCCTTTGGCATCAGTTTAATCTTTTGCTTCTCTGCATAACATAAAGAAGAAACCTGGGTCAATGAATAATGAAAGCTCATTCAAAACCTGGACTCTCAGAGTTTTGTCTCCTCTGCTTTTTATTTTAAGTGGAACTTCTTTCACAGATCTTTTTAATTTTTTTTTTTTTTTTTTAATGCATTCAGACTTTCCGTTGTGGATTTTGTGAGGTTTTTCATGCAGGATTTAGGGGAAGATCACACTGATTCTGAAATTCACTTATTCTTCAGATTGTTTTTATTTCTGTTCTGACTGAGCTTCGAGGCCAGCCAGGGACAGGAGGTTGTTATGTTGGCCACTGTGTGTAAATAAGGAATATGGAATGCCTTGGAGAGCTGAGAGTCAGAAAAGGGGCATGAAAAATAGGGAAGGAGTGTGTCTTCAGTTTTTAAAACAGCCTTTACATACCATGATGCTGAACTTAAAAGGGAAAATTAAAAAAAAAAAAAAATCAAAGCCTCCCAAACTCAGCAGACATGTTTTTTGCCAGAACCCTCTTCCCACCAGCCAGCCCTTCTTAAATCTGTAACAACCCAACAGGTAGTTAAAATAGTCCCAACTAATTGTAACCAGGACTGCTGGCTTCTCCTGAGCTATTGTTCTGATTAGGCACCGCAGCCAAAATCATCAGGAGGTATATAGGCAAAGTAGTTAGTGTAAGAACTCAAAACTAGAACAACTACAGGCCTGGTTTTTTTTTTTTTTTAATTTATTATTAAACTGCTGTAAAAGCAGGCCCTGGGTCTCTGCTGCAGATGTGTCTGCCACGGGCCAGCTCATCTAACTCAGTGCTGCTCTGTTGACTTCATGAGAAGAATGGACTACAGCATGTGTTACAAATTGAGGTTTTAATTCAGGTTTTCTTGAAACACATAGAAGTGACAAAATTCGTACAGCTTCCGCAACTTCACAACAGTATTCTAACATCAACTGTTTCAGGAAAGGTCTTTTTTTTTAAAAAACACAGTCTTTAAAAAATGTCTCAACTTTTATTTTTTTTAATTATATGCCAAATGCTAGGCAGAACTTGTGCTTGTAAGAAAACCTCTCTTTTTCAACAAACAAGTGGTGGAGGAGGTGGCAGTGTCAGGTCAGAGGGGTGTGGAGCAGAGCACACAGATGATGTGATGGTCTGTAGCCTGTGAGATTGGTTTAGCCCCACATGAGGACAGAATTCGCTGGTGACAACAAGGAGTGGAGGCTTTAAACTGTTGAACTGATCCAAGAAAATGGATGTGGTTGTCGTGATGGCACATGAAGCCAACCTTTGGGGTCTCTGGGACAAGAGACTAGGGGAGAAATTATCTTGTGGTAGACACTGTAAGGTATTTGCAAAGGCAGTGAGGCAGTGAGCAGCCATCCATCCTCCACCCTGGAGTGGTGGGAATGCCACTTTCCTCCCCCCTTTATCCCTCTGTTTGAACCAAGTACTAAAAAAGGTGTTTCATATTTTTGCAGTAGTCAGTGCTTAAAATATTTTGGTTCCTTATGGGTACTGACACAGTCTGTTTTGGTAGTACACATGAAAACAAACAAGGAAAGAGACAGATAGAACAGGCAATTCCTTGGATGTTGTGTTTTGCTGAGGCTATAAAGTGGAGGAGGCAGAGATTTGTTGAGATTCTTACTCAGCGTACACAGCTCAAAATACTGTTTTCCCTCAACTTTGAAACTCACACAGGTGAGTTTCAAAGTTGAGGGAAAACAGTATTTTGCCTGGGGAAGGGTGAGGGGTTTCACTTTGCAGATATGCTTCTATTTTAGTGTGTGTATTTATTTGCCTGTCTCTTGCTTAGGAGTGTTAGGTAGGTCTGCTCCATAGGATTAAATCATATCCCAAACCATCCTGGCTTTGTGACAGTACAAACATTATTGGATTTAGTTTCCCTCTGCTTATCCACCTCCTGTCTTCCAAGATCCCCATTATTATTATAATAATACCCACAAAACTCCTGCTCTGAGATCAGAGGGGTTTTCAAGTGCCAGAGCAATCAACAAAACATACCTGGTCCTTTTAATCTCCTTTAATCCCATCATGTGGGACTATCCCAATAAATGATCACATATCCAAGAATTCTTTCTGCGTAATGACATTTGGGTTTTAGCTCACAGTTTTCATGAAACTGTCTCAGATATGAAAGAAGATGTACTGGGACCTTCGTATACCATCAATAAAATAAAAGTTTGGGTTGAAAAATTATCTTACGGAATAAAACAGAATAACAAAAATCCATCATTATCTGTGTTTCAGAAAGGGATTGTGTTTTGTTTAGCATTTTAGTTAGAAATGATGTATGACTACATCATAAAGCACTTATATTAAAAAGATCTTCTCACCCTGAATTCAAAATATATATTGTACTCTCTTATCATCCAGTCATTTCAGAGTGAAAGTTAAAAATGCCCATCCTGTGGTAGTAGTCGCCTGTGTTATAGCTGATATATTCTTCTAATACTTTTACTTAAAAGGGCTTTTACTTGGGGCTCATGAGAGCAGATATTCATTTTCTTATTGATTATGGTAACGCCATGGGTGGTGGGTTTGTATTTTTAGATCAGTGTTTGTGGTTTTCCCCGGGCTGCTGAATCAGCCCGACTTGGGTTCTGAAAGTTTGGGTCGTGTCTGTACCTAGTAGAAAAAGGGAAAATATTTCCATTGGATGAGAAGCAGCAGAAAACAGGAGCTTGTATTATTTTGCTGAGGTTTGGTCAGTGCTTTCTGTTAGATTTTCTTTTTTGTGCATACGTGAAAATGACTGAATTTTGAAGAAAATCAGGTGTTAGCAGAATAAAGGGTGGCGCATGCCGTGGTTCAAAGTCTTGAGGGCTTGAGCTGTCCAGGAGTTTCCACAAAAATCTCCGTGTCAGGAACAGGAAATATGACAAAAAGCAGGACTCTGCAACATCCCGGTTTGATGTTTTAGAGATGAAAAGTTTCTCCTGCCTGAGGCATAAATTTTGGCTTGAATGAGAGAGCCTAACCCTAAGGCGAAGAATGCTGGGACCCAGATTCCTGTCACTGGTTTGAACCTTGCAGAGCAGAGACTTAAATCTGACTTTATCTTGTCCTGAGCGAACGTCCTCACCACTAGAAAGTGACTACTCTCAGGGGAAAAAAAAAGGAAAGGGGAGTTTTTCCTGATGGTGGGGTTTTTGTTTCGTTTCATTTTGTTTTTTCTCCTGAGGAACGTGGATCCGTGCAGAACATCGGCATCTCTGAAAACTCAAAGTTCCACAAGAATGGGGGGGGAAAAAAAAACTCCTTTCCCACACATTTGATAAGAGGTTTTGACTGAGGTTGTAGGAGAGTGCAAGGCAGAACTGGGTAAAGGCAGACCAGTCACTCCTGTGGGGAAGAAAATACTGGGAAAGGAGGGAATTCTGCAAAATAACTAACCTGGACACTCTGGCCTGCAGAACAATTTACTGGAGGGGTGGTTAAATGGCACAGATTAAGCTCATTAATGGTTCAGATATTTGCTTGGTTTACACAATGCTGTCCAGCAAATTATATTGATGCTTGACAGAATTATTGTCATTATTTATTTTGCTGTAAGCCAGATTTATAGATATTTGTAGCTTTTGTAAGACTAAACATAAGAAACATTAATGGCTTTACTAATTATATCACTGCTTTAGAGATATAAATAGTGATAAAAATGCCAAGTAAAGTGAGCTAGTAAAACATTTTAAAGAGAATTTTAAAGTGAGTTACTGATTGATGATCCCTTGGGTCAGTCTTAACTTTTGAATGTGAGAGCACAAGTGCCTTTTGCCTCCATCAACTCTTCGGGCAGAGACAGGGAAGAACAAGAGTTGTATCGAATGTCTGATTATTAAATCAGATTGCATAATCTGAAAAATATTGAAATCCTATAGTAGCAT